ATTTCCATTTGATTAAATTTTCAAGCGAATATCGCTTATTAGTAAAAAGAAACAACACAACAACATCAACACCAACCAGAATCGTTTACAGGCGATAATTGAAATCGCATTTTATTTACATGTAAATGTCACGCGGCTTTATTTTCCGCATACAATTCATAATCTCTTCCGATCGGATCGATGAACCGAATTCGATAATTTTCGAAATCAACTTGATTGCGGTAAAAAAAAAAAACGCTAACATGCGAATGAATTGAAATTCTTATGAAAAATGGTAATAAAAAGGTAATCCCCTGCTGTCTACAACAGCTGTGAATATTTACTTCAGGGACATGGAAGGACAAATCTTGTGAATCTATGGAGCACCCAAAAACCTACATCAATTTGCCTTTGTCTGCAACTAAACACTCGTCTTACCACCAGATCGATCCGGAAACAAGACATTTTGCGTTGTGTCCTTTTCCGAGCGAACTAATTCTTTTAGAATAAACAATAGATTAAATAAAGCTAGAAAATCATTTACACAAATAAATTATTCTAGAAGTCAATCTACGCAATGAATGACATTTTTTTTTTATTTGACTAACTATTCTAAAATTTACTTTCATTCTTTTCCCATATATCTTGTACTTTCCATAAAATTTCCTAATTTTTTTATGGGTCGCTATTACTACTAAGCCTTAACTTGTACTATTTATTGCCCACACTTTCTCTTTTCTATGCTAAGTATTTTTGCACTCGACGGAATAATTTGCCTCTTGTAAGTAACTTTCGTCAATCGGTACAAAGTTTTTTTTTTTCATTATAATGGCATCGATCATATGGACTGTGGCTTTGCTAGTTTTGGGGTATAATAAAAATATTGTCGAATATTCACTCCATGATATCGAAGAAACTTAATTATTTGATATATAAGGATCGTAACTCGTGTACGGCCCGTTTTTACGGCAAAAACTTCCAATGTTTCAACGGAAGCGACCATACGAGCGAGACACACACAAAACGGACAGAAATGACTAAATCAATTTATAATTTCACGCTGATACTTTATGAGACCACTGAATCTTCGCGTGTTACAAGATGGTTTAACAAAATGAATACACACACATAGCCCTTATTTTTCGATGATAGGTAAAAAAATACGAATTCATCTTGGGTTAAGACTGAAACCCCGTAAGATTAAGATATCCTTGAAAAAGTATTCACATAAGATTTTTATAAAAGGCATTCAAAGTTTTGCAATAGATTACATAAAATGTTAAAAAGCATGAATTCTAACTGAAAAAGCTTTCATTGCTCCTAATTTCTCCAATTTTTATAACAATTTTTGTTAACAAGCAGGGGAACTGTTACGCTTTTACTGTAAAAAAACTCTCTCTTAAATATCAAATGTTTCTCTTTTTAACATTAACATCTTCTTGCATAACAGTTTACGATTCAACGGTAAAAAAAGCTTTTATTTAACATTGTTTATGCGAACACACAATTGCGGTCAATGCTAACATATTTTGTAATCAATTTCGTGTTCGTTCAATGATATGCGCAAACTGAAACAATTTTTCCCATCTAATTAATTATAATTAATTAACATAATTCCGAAATTTTCGAACGGTATATTCGCGAGACAGGAAGAAATGTTTAAAGCCTAAATTCTAGATAAAAAATTAAGCAAATCTTACGATTTGCTTGTAAGAAAATGCACTGTTTGTAGATTATATAAGGGCTAACTTTAAAGGATTATAGTCAGATAACTATTAGACTACGTTAAAAAACTAACGGTATCGCGATCATTGCTCACTAAAGGAATACATTTGGTCAGGGTCAAAATGGAGTTTTTCAGGGTTCGTCTATAGTGTGAAAGGAGTGAAGGCTTTTTCTTCAACATGAAGTGAATGCCGCCTTTTTCAGTAAAGATTTTTGAAATGCTTCTAAGGCGATATGCCAGCTTTTTCCCGATGCGTTTTACTACTGCTCACTATACTTAGAGAAGGACATGAAACGAATTAACGCGAATTAAAAAGGGTACACGCCGCGTTCATTGGATAAAAAGGCTTTAAATTATTTAAAATTTATCAAAAAACACGTACGTGTTTCTCTTCGGAATGTGTTTTTAAAGATATAGTAAAAAGTTCGCATCAAAAGAACGAAAATTTTTAGTTTTTTTTCGCGATTTTAAAAAATCGCTTTTCTTATTTTTTCCAATTGTGATTTTTAAGATGCTTGTCAATGTATTAGAGAGGACTTACAAATCAACAGATGTTGGGCCGGCAACTTTCCAGCACTGATTCAGTTGACGCGGACAAGGTTTTTTAAGATCGCTCGGCGAAAAATTTTTTTTGATTATTTTTACATATATTCTAAAAGAGTAATAAAGCATCAAAGATGATAGAAAACAATTTGTTATTCTTTTTAACGCCTAAAGAAATATAATTTATGCGTAGTTTTGAACGCAACACATATTTCAATATATTTGTTTATTTAATTATAAAATTATTTTTTATAAACCATAAAAAAAATTTCATTCATACATTTTTCATAAAATCAAGCAAAAAAAAAAAAAAACCTTTTAACAATAATTGCATTTTTCCATCTATTCCCACTGCCACTAGTCGTAGCGCGTTTGGAGAATATCTTGTTGCATTCCGCACTTTTACTTCATTTTGAATATTTTAATAATGAAATAAAACAATAACTAATAAGTAGTTTTCACTGCTTTTCCACCGCATACGATAATTGATATGAACTTTTCATTCTGTTAATTAACGATTTTTTTCCGGTTTCCCTACAACCACCGAGAGATAATTAAAAATTGAATAAATATTTAAAGTTAATTATTAAAACTCTTTTCACACCTATGGCTACGGGGACTGTAAATGATTAATATATTCATGAGTACTACTACATATATTAATATTTTTGTCGATCTACTTACTCTTCGCTATCGGTTATGCAGAAAACTCTAAGTGTAAGCAATTTTTAACACAGAGTAGCAGCTTCCATTACATAACGTGTATGTATCTCTTCCTAAAGGATAGTATACAGGAATTTGTGTTTACATATAAAAATTATGATATTCAGTTACCTTAAGTAAGCAAAAATTTTTAATTATATTCCCAACAACCATGCAGCCAATGAGACCACATACATATATACATATATATATATATATATATGAATATTCCCATACACAGTTAACGCCTGCCCTTCTGCCGCAACACAATTTTAATCGTTGTAAATTATCAGTGTCAGTATCAATTATAATATTGGACGGAACAAAAAACTCTGATGTGGTGATAAGTTTTATTTTGCTTTGCTACATGTAGGTTACAAATACATTATTCAATTATTTATTATTACTATTTTTATTTATTTACTTTTTTTTTTTCTTTTTTTTTTTTTTTGCTAATTATTCTTTCTTTGTTATGATTCGTCCACGACCAGCGTGCGTATATATAATTTTTGTTTATTGTTATGCAATTTTATTTGTTTTTCCTCAATGCAAATATTTTTTGTCATTCATTCTTTGTTATTACAACAGTTAAAATAGGTGTTGCATTATTCTGGTTTTACATAAAATATACTATATATATATACATATATATATATATATTTTTTTTTTTTTTACGTCTCTCAATGTTTGGGTAATACTTTCAATGCTATTATTAAAAATATACGTTGGTCCTTTTGTTCTATTTTACACTGCTTTTGCAATATAATGTGAACGATGTGACATTCATTACATTATTTAATATCAATATATTCGAATGCCCGCTTAATTATCGTTTTATATCCCGCACCAAAGGATAAGGGGTATATTCCACCTGTCAAAACGTTTGCAACGCCTAGAAGGAAGCTTCGGAGCTCCCATAATGTGTACATATATATTTTTGATCATTATCAAATTCTGAATCATTTTAAACATGTCCGCGTGTCCGTCTCGGTAATGTCTATTGTAAACATGCTCTTAAACGCAAAAACAAAGTTATCGGTTGCAAATTTGCAGAAACATTGGACGCAGGTATTGAGAATGGGCTAAATCGGATACAAGGACGCAGTACCACGTAAACTGGGTATGGGTGACGCTGTCGTACCTGCGAAAAAATGGGAAATATTGACCACGCCTACCCAATATAATAGTGTATCAATATGCCACTAGTTTTTGAATACCTCTATAAGGCGCAGAAGCAAGCTTTAAAAACGCTATAAATTATATATATATTCTGGGCCATTCCAAATTTGGAATACAACATCTTTTTCTGCCCAGCCGTCGAACTGCGCAACTGCATAGTATCTGTGGCAACTGCGTAGTATGAAATCCGTCATTATATCATGTGCTGTACATACTACTTAAGATCCAATCCTGTGTTAAGTTGGTGCGGACGTATGTAACACCCAGAGAGATTCGAAATCTACCTTTCACTATACCGATCGACTCAGAATAATTTAGTAAATTAATTTCTGAAACGATGTGAGCGTGTCTCTCCGTCTGTCCGTTGCCCTTTTTTTTGTGTTCGACCTATAGGTCGCAATTTTTGATTTATTTCAAAAAAAATTACGAAATTCCTATCAAATAATTGAATAATAATAATAATTGAATTGGTCACTTTCCCGTTCATCCGAACCCATTCTCTCCGTTCTTTTCTGTCATATCCGCTACCTCGTTGAATTCTTTCAATTTATTGTTATACAAATTCTGCCTTGCGGACGGTTGTCTGGTGTCATCAACTAATTTAAACACACTTCTCTAGAGTAGAATTTACCTTCGGTTAGACTGTTTGAGAGAAAATATTTCAGTATTGAAACACTTTTTCTATATCCATTTCATTCATTTATTAATAACATTTACTATTGAGAGATGCGTCGGACAAAAACAAAACACATATGACGTTTTTAACCTTCAAAATTAAAGCCGATGGAGGACTTGTACTCGTTATTTTCTTCATAGAATAATTAAAATAAAGTAAACTTTTAAAATAACTCTTTTTTTTTCTTATTTACAGAAATGCAGAGAAGGAAATCCAAGAGAGGGACAGCAACGCAGCATATCCTGTCATGTTGGTGAGTCCGCTAATTTTTTCCTTTTAAGAGAGTAAACGAAAAACATGAAAATAGAAAATTTATTATAAAAAATATCCTCATTATCATCCACTACACTGCAAAAAAAAAAATTCTAAAGTTATAACTGTTAATATACATTTAATATAAAATTTGTTATAAAGAAATCCGGAATATCATCCACTACTCTGCAGACAAAAAATTTGAAAATTATAACTGTTAATATACATTTAATATATAATTTGTTATAAAGAAATCCGGAATATCATTCAAGACAATTAATAAGCTAATAGCCGCTAATATATATGTATACGAAGCCTGGTAAAAACATTTAAATTACATTGAAAGAAAAATTTCACTATTAATTGGAGATGTTCGATTGATAGTGCAATGACGGATGCCAATTTTCAAAGAATTTTTAGATTGTGTCGCACTTTAGGACGGCAGGATTTGATGGCGAGTTCGTCGATAGTTGGTTTCCATAAATGACCTTTAAAATAGTTTTTTAAAATGACTGCCTTTCAATTTCAAAAATTCCATAAAGGTTCAGCATGAATTTATCTTGCAATGATTTCTATATACAACACTATACTCACTACTGCACAGTCGGATATAGTCTTTCAGATAAGAAATGGTTGATTATAACGGAATATGTAGCATACCTTAAGAGAAGGAGAAAGTAAAAAAAAAAAATGGGGTGGCTAGTAGTAAAATATGCCCTATAAAATGTTTATAATGTTTCTGCGTTTGTTTGCGCCAAGTGTATGTGAATGCGTTATCTTAAATATTTTGGATTCAAAGATGTCCGTCTGTTTTGTGTAAAAAATATAACTGAGGCTATGTGTTAGGTATTACTCCATTAAAAACTCTCGCACAGTCCTGTAGCAGTTGGCATAAGCTCACTCACTCACTTGTCATACATGCCGTAATCGACAACAGATTCCTGTCAGGATTGCTGCCGTCGTACTTACGTAAGCAACTAGAACTACGAATAAGATTGTATTTCCATGATTAGTGAAGACATCAAAACAAGTCTTATTATTCAAGGTTCATACCAGTTCTAGATCTTGTTTTTTTTTTTGCTTATTTTTTAACTATAGTCAACCTTGGTTTTTTTCCTTAATTTTATTAAAGCGTTAAAAAGTTCAAATTTTAGTTTTACCAATTTTTAAAAATAAAAGTCTCTTAACCATTCAGGTATTGTGAAGAAATCATTGATATTTTCCCCCTATGATGATTGACTTTTTCTTTATTTTTATTAATTTAGAAACTTAAATGAAAAAATTTGTAAAATTTCAAAGAAAGAACAAACAAAAACAGGCATTGATGATGGAAACCCTTATAAAAGCAAATTTATTTACAATTTAAATGAATTTAACCCTAATTTTATTTGAAAATGTTGTCAGTTTAGTTCGTTGTAGTAGTTAGGAGAGAGAGAGAGAGAGAGAGAGAGAGTGAGAGTGAGTGAGTGAGACACAAAAATCATATCAATTGACCCACACAAGTATTTAGAATTCAAAAGCAAGTTGCCTGAATAAGGGAATAATGCATCCATTTACATATAACATCGGTTTATCTTTATTCCTTCGAGCTTACGAGTTATGTATGATTGAATATATTTTTCAACTACGAAATATGTAATACAAGTAGTGTGTGCTCAATGCGTACGAACGAATATATTCGAATATATATATTTTATATATGTATATATATTTGCTTTTCTTTTTGTAAAAAGTCCTTTTAATTTTGTTTATTTTTCAAACCTATTGTGGGATTTGTGACAAAAAAAAATTGAAATAAATTTTTCAAATATTTTTCAATTTGATTTTCTTGTTAATTCCAAATGCATTTTCTAAATAAATCATAAAAAGATATCATCCCGAGCCTTTTTGGTTTTATAGTCATTTTAAGTCTAGAATTTCAAATGAATTAACATTTATTGTTTCGTTTCATATAAATCATATGTTATGCACTCCATTTGCTCAACTATACACACACACATATATATATATATATATATATATATCCTGATGCGTTATCCATTACATTATTTATTGACAAATTCTTCATGCGTATTTACAATTTCATTGTGACGTCTTATATATATATATATATATATATATATATATAATTGTTTTATCTTTTTATCTCTCTCTCTCTCTCTCTCTCTCTCTCTCTCTCTCTCTCTTTCCCCCTCTCTCTCCCCCTTTTTTAGTTACCATTTCCATTTTAGAGACTATGGAAAATGAAAAGAAAAAAAAAAAAGAAGTTGTTAATCTTGACTCTTCATCTCTTCATCAATTGCAAACGTTTATCAATAAATTGTGCAAGGACATCATCATTGCTTCATTTCTTTTTTATATGCTGCGTACATATATATATATATATATATTCCTTTCATATTTTTTTTCACATACGTATTTCGTACAAGTCCCTGACGATTGCTATTGTCCCTACCATCAACCAGTAGCATTTAGTTTAGCATGCCTTCTGGTTATAAATGTGTAAAAATCCAGAAAATTGTTACACAGATCAGTAGAGTTGAGAATTTACGCGCACACACAAGCACACATGTGTTTTATATAAACGTCGTACATCTATTTTGAATTTCTGGTTATACATATATGTGTGTGCTTGCATACAAATGCTTCTTTGCCGTTATGTATGCCTCTTTGTCCTGAAGATCATAATTTAACATTTTTTGTCCATTTATGTTTGTAGAGAGGAGAGACCTTTTTTCATCTTTTTTTTTTTGTTTTGTTTTTTTTTTTGGTTTGAAAGACTTGCTCTTTTATAAAACTATAGGAGGAAAACCATACACATTTGTCATTGCTTTTATGGAAAGAAAAATAATTGCTTAACATCGGTTTGAATAAACCGAGTTTTTGGATATTGCATATTGATGAGGCGATGTGATGTGATGTGATGTGATTTTCTACTTATGTCTTTATGGTCGGAAATTGCAACTATACATGTACATGAAATTTACCAACGTAAAATACTCCATCGTATCTATGCTACCAATGCGGTTAATATGTAGAAGCGCATATATGTGTTGTAGTTACAAAGTAGGGGAATTAAAAAGAAATCAACTATAAAATGATTTGCAATATGATAGAAATTGAAAGAAGTAGTAGCAACTATTGTTCTCGTATGTCGGTTTAGGCAAGCAACAGCAAAACTATAGCTTCATAGTTAATAACTTTTATATTATGTTTACTAAAAGTCGTTAAAATTAATTATTTAAAAAAATTTTGAAACAATTAAAAAACGTGCAGATATTATATTCAAGTATTCAAGTAAAATTGGTTTTATTGGGGTTTTGCTGCAAAAAAAAGTTATTGTCGAACTTAAGCTAATAATAGAAAGCAAGACCTTGTCGATAGCTCACGACCAATTCGGGGTTATATTTGTTTTGTGTAAATATCACATATCTTTCGAAGTTCGTTAAAGGTTTTGCTTTTTTAATTCCCAAGTCGTTTAGAACATAGCCGATGAAGCCCATAATTGGAAGGCCTTGACTTGCTCTGTTATGTTACGATTGTTGACCGATTAATTAATAAATACCTAAAAAAAAAAATTGCTTAAATGACTTCGATACCTCCTGTTTTTTTTTATTTATTTATTTATTTTTTTTGATTATTATTTTGATAAAAACCCCACGGAAATTTTGTGAACAGCGCTTCTTGAGGTTCATTGAATATTTAGATTTAGTTTATATTAAAAAGAAAAAAAAAATGAAATGGTAAAATAGTAAAAATATTGTTATAAAGTTAGAAAGCAATTGAGCGGAAATAACATAAATCTCTTTGGGTATGAACGGATGGATAAGTTAGTTTATGTTTTACAATATATTTCATATGTAACGTAAACGCATATTTCCCTCATAGATATATGTATATACATAGATCCTTCCACTTGACTAACAGCGATTCACTGTTATTGTTATTGTTAATGATGTTTTTGTTGTTGTTTTTCTGATTATTGTTGGTTGAGTTCTAAAACTTTATTAAGCGATTTTAGTGGGCTAGCGTATAAAATATATATATATATATATGTATGTAAATCCGTCCATATATATGTATATATAAATCCAGACATATATACCTTTACTCCTATCGTATGCATTATCGTTACATTGGAAATACCATATAATTTTTCAAAAAGAAGATTAAAAACTGTAAATATGAAAAACATTTACGTTATTTAATAGAAATTGAAAGTAATGCCGTCTATGATTATGGTATGAATTTAAAGATTGTATGTTTAATACATACATATACATGTATATATATATATGTATATATATGTATATAAATGTATGTACATAAATATAAATCCATTTCATTTGTTTCATTTTACAATTATTCTGCAATTTTGCACTAAAGCTCATACAAACGAACAAGTAAACAAACAAACAAACGGATGTTCCTACATATCTGGTATACTACTAGATACCAGTTCAGTTGGATTTTGCATAAAAATCCGTTTAGTGTAATTCTTTATAAGGGGAAACACAATAGAGATGAACTCTTACAGGTATTCAGTTTTATGCAATTAAACATACATATATATATATATAAGAATATCCTTTATACAAGCATATAAACATATTTATATACAATTACAAGCAACTAACCATACGATGACTTTGTATAGCATTTATCATCATCAAGCGCTTGCATACACAAAAATATATGTATATATATATATATATATATATGTGTATGCCTGTGCCCACATCGCTTTAAACAACAGCACTCATACTTATGCATTTACATTCAATAATATTTAACTACCAACGAATATATAAACTCTCAGAGAAATTCATATAAAAAAACATCTAAGAGCTAGAGAAAGAGTTTGTTTCGCAAAGAGTGGGTGAAGGGCGGGGGGTAGGGTGGATAGTTCAATACATTTTAATTACAATGCATGGACATGAATGTTACAGTACAATTTTCTGTTTTGTTTTATCTCAATCATTTGTAACATTTTTGGTGTAC